GAGGCGCAGCGTCGCGCGTCAAGCACGGCGCGCCGCTCGTTCTTCCGGCGCAAGAAGCACCGCGATAGCAAGGAGCTGGCCTCCTTCTCTAACACTGAGCTGGGCTGCTGGAGCGACTCCGGCACGCTCGCCGACGACGCGCCGCCGCTCTCCTACCAGCGCGTCGAGAGACTGCACTGTCAGTATTCATATAAAAACATTACATAACATAAACGTTCGCGCCTGTCACCGAGAGGAATAGGCGGGACAATGGACTGTCATTTGCTACAATTCTGACAGATCTCTCTCGCCTCCTTTACATATATATACTTATGCATACGTATGTGGAATATATACGTATAAGACTACTCTTAATTTGGACCATCTTTAATAATATCGCCAATTTGTTTGATAAATTTCCGATATTCTGTTAATTTATCGTTTTTATTGATAAATATCAAATGTTCTATCCATGGAGGAAAGGGAGATATAGAGAGAGGAGGAGGGAGCGTGATAGATAGAGAGAGGAAGAGGGAGCGTGATAGATAGAGAGAGGTAGATAACTATAGTAATATCGTATAGTGTGTGTATGCACACATTTATAATTAAAGAATTACTTTTGACTGGAATCGTCATAATGATTTCTTATGTTTACGCGAACATTGCAAACTTAAATGAAACTAGTTGTTACAAATTTTAGCACGTATATTAACTCGTTACGTTAGGTAAAAATTCGTGTTCTCGCAAAATTTACAGCAAAACTAATATTTTTTTTAGAGTTTAAAAAAGAAAAAGTGAAACATATTTTACATTTATATAAAGTATAGTATTTGATATTTTCGAAACTGTTTTTTAATTTATTTTGTTGTTAGCTCTATTAGGCGATAAACATGCCTATGTTTAGGTTACATGCGTAAAAGGTCTTATTAAAGCCTCTGCTATGTACACACTATAACAATATCAAGAATAGTATTCAGATCACATTTATTTACATTTTATTTACAATAATCTTATCTGGTCACATTTTTTATAAATCCTTTAATTTTCTTATTTGAAAGGCTTAAAAAGTTGTAATTTCATGATTTTTTAAACTGGAAATATCTATTTTTTTCTATTAGAAGTATAAATGTAGCAAAGTCGTCGCAAAACCACATAAAATAGAACTATTTTCAAGTGAATTAGAAATAAATAAAATTAAAAAAATATATTTTCGTACTTTTTACCTATATTCCATTTATAAACCAGAAACGCCTGAAAATTCTCTCAGTTCCGCTGGGATTTCTCAGCGTTCAGACAGTGTTGCTCAACGTTACTTTACCTCTCGCTCGCACGGTTGATCTCTTTCCCTCACGCAGCTCTTATGGACTGAGCGGAGCATATCGTGAATGTTGCTCTACTTAAATATATATTATTTTTATTTAATTGTAATATTAGTTCTAGTTTTTAGTGTATTAGTGTTTATATTAGTATTAGATTAATTGACTTGGATTTTTATATTTGGAGAATTTCAATTTATTACAAACAAAAAAAAAACAGAAAAAGATGGATAGAAAAAAGAAGAAATATCCTTGTGTCAGTAAAAATATTAGTAAATGTAGTAGTAAAGTACAAAATGTACAAGGTAGAGGCGAAATTTGTATGAAGAGGCAGTTTTTATTTTCCTTCGGTTGTATATTATATCCTTTTTAAACCCCCATCCCGTATAAACTTTTTACTAAAAACGACATTTATGAAATATAAAAGGGTAAAAAATTATACTACCACGACAAAAGTAAAAGGAATATTTTTGGAAAAAAATTAATAAGTTATATATTTAATGAAGTAGAGGAACCTTCACCTGCGATCTCGAACGTATTTATGCACGGGGGAGAGCGCCCCGTCTAATAGCTGGGAATGTAAAACAGCAAAGCTAGACGGAAGACGGAATAGAATTGTCGTGTAGCGGGGGCGTAAAGGATTCCAGTACCCTATATCATATATATCTGCCATTCACTACTATACATCTGTAGGTGTCGTAATAGGAGACGGAGGGATATGAAACAGGAGATGAGCAGCAGCGTATTTCTGATAACAACTCTAAAATGATAAACAAAATATGAAAAACTACGTTTTACCTACTCGCCTGCCAAACGTGGTATCTGTGACAAAAAGAGAGTTTTTTAATTTACGTTACGTTAATTTTCTTTAATCTTATAATAAGCAGATAGCCTTATTTATTTTAATGTTAAATATTTGTATGGTGCTAGCAACTTACATTTGCCGTACGTCGCTTTATTTAATTAGCTAACTTTGTCCATACAGACGGCAGCCAGCGACCGGTGGTGGTGCTGGGTCCGCTATGGGAGTGCGTGGCGGGCAAGCTGGTGACGGACTGGCCGCACGTGTTCGCACGAGCACGCCCAGACCCGCGAGCTGTGCGTGACCTCGCCGACAAGGTACGGCTGTGTGCGTGCGTGCGTGCGTGCGTGCTGCGTGAGTGAGTGCGTGCGTGCGTGCTGCGTGAGTGCGTGCGTGCGAGAAATAGCAACGCAATTGTTAACCCTCTTTGTTGTAATTTGGCTGCAGGAGTCCATAAACTGTAGTAGTTACTGCCTGTTTTATAAAAAAACACAATGTTCGCGTGTGTGAACCGGCTGATAAGGGGCTTACACCTTTTGTTCTACAATTAAGATATAAACCAAAACTTCTATATGTAATAAAAATGTTCAACTACATTTTTTAAATAATGATGTTGTATTCATTATTATTTAAATATATTTATTTGTTTCTAGGGCATACACTGCATCCTAGACATCAGCGTGTCAACGATTGAGAAACTTCACAAACATCAAATATACCCTATTGTGCTGTTCATAAAGTTCAAATCGTTTAAACAAATAAAAGAAGTTAAAGACACGCGGTATCCAGCTGATAAAGTCTCCGCCAAGGCTGCAAAAGAAATGTATGAGCACGGATTGAAGGTGGAGAATGAATATAGGAATTATATTTCTGGTAAGTTATTAGTCTATGGTGCGATCTGACACTGCGATCGTTAACATATTTCCAAATCATTTAATTATTTTTAATAATTGAACATTCTATTAAAAACCAAAAAAATCAAAAGAGGTCGAGTTATTGTCAGCGCCAGCAATAATTGATTCGCCGGCGAAAGATATTATGTATTTCATCCTGAAAGGAATAATTAGTTACTATGGTTAGCCAAGAAGCAATTAAGTTGTTGACAAATATAGCATAGGATATTGTAAGGGCTGCGGCGGGACCCCCACGTGATCGGTTGACAGTAGTTGATGGTAACTGATAGTCAATACTGGGAAGTTTATAATGGATAGTTTATTGATAGAAGCAACTAAATCTAATTTAAGGATAGATGGGAAATGATACTGCGAGCACTCGTGACCGGTATTGCTGGGCTCAATTAGCGCACTGGCTCAAAATGCATTATTGTAGCGTTATAGCGTAAACTGCCAACGCCACAAAAATGTACGTGCTGCAGCCCGTACAGATATATTAAATTCTATTACTTTCACTACATGGCAGGACTCTTTTTCTGTCTAGAATTCTAGGGGGGTGATACCTAAATTACCTATTTTTGCCGCCTAATAGCAGTCCTTGCACTGGTCTGAAGGCTATAGAAAATCAGGATAGTTATAAGCTGTGAGGCATCAGACCCATCTTAGTCCTCAGGGATGGCAACACAAATGTTAGCTCTCTTTGTTTTAAATTGTGTACAGGTGTCCATAAACTGTATTAGTTACTAATGGTCTGTTTTATATTAAATATATCTGTAATAGTCTAAAAATTAATGGGTTAGGATTTTCGATTGAGTTTGTGATTATTGAAATTAAATAAAAGTGTACGAGTTGAACTGTGCTTGGGGTAAAAAGTCGGAAGAACAAATAAAAGTGAATTCCGACTATCCGCCCCGTCTGGGGTGGATAGATGAACACGCGTTACCGAGTATCCACCATATGGTGGCTGTTTTAGGGTGGATAACCAGAATAACCCAAATTAACTACATTATTGCTGGTTGGATCTGGCTCAATGGGCTAATAAAATTTATGAACTGTAATGATATTGTCATATGTCAAAGGTAATCAAATTTATGCTATTGTTACGAGCTTGAGGTTCGTGACAATAAAAATTGCCGATAAAATTACCTAAATTAACACTTTAATTTTCTTTACACAAATTTAAACTTAAAACACTAATAATTAATCACACTGATTCACTTTATTCCACTCCGAAGCTTCGCTTGTCTCGCCAAATTCAATACTTCACCGATCGCATCTTGCAGCGCCTATAAATACACAGTAGTACCGAATCATCCAGAACATTCAAGTAAATACGCGCACCAATCGACGAAGCGCCGAAAGTTCGAGAGTCAGCTTCCAGAAGCTTAGTTCTTCGTTTCGACAACAGATGGCGCTGTCGCTTGAAAGATTAGTGATGTCATTTTATGGAAAGCTCTCCCCTAGCTCCGTTACCCGCCACTAGATGGCCCTAGTGCCAGATGTCAACTTAGCCGCGCAACACTATATATCAACGCATTTGGCTAACTTGCTCAAATCTTACCCTTAAACAACTTTTCTGCAAAATGACAATATGTCGCTTTTCCGGTCTGGTAGTGTCTCTAGAACTGCACTCAAGTGTATCTCCGAACTAATTGTATTGGCATCACATTCAGGACAGTTAGGCTAGGACGAGTTGACTGCATCTAAGTTTATATAATTCATAATAAGAGTTTGATTGCAGCGGAGATCCCGGCGGGCGTGAACATCGCGTACATGTGCACGCAGATCAAGGAGGCCGTGGAGGAGGAGCAGAACAAGACGCTGTGGGTGCCGTCCGTGCAGGCCTGACCCCTGCCGCCCGCGCCCGCTCTCGCGCCCGCCCTCGCCCCCGCCTCCGCTTCCGCTTCCGCTCCGCACAAGGCCGTTACGTTCAGCGCGCGCCGTTCCCGCCGCTCTCGCCACCGCTCGCACAGTGACCCGCGTTATTACTCCGACCCGGGTCACCACCGAATGCCCAAAAAACAGAGGAAAACCGACTCTATCGACAGCGACATAAGATATTATTCGGAACCCGATGTCAAGTACTTTGAAATCGATTACGAGTTCCTGAAGGAACTGCAGCGTATCGCGCGTAACAACTGCCCTAAGTGCAAAAGAAAGAGAAGTAGGAAATACGAGGAGTATAAAAAGCAAGGCGATAGAGTGAGAGAGACTTATGTGTTGTGTAGCGGACGTTACCACAGCGAGAAGGAGCACTGTAGAGTGTGCTGCAAGATTTGTAATCGTTCGACCGACACTCTTAACTCGATAGACGATGAGTATTCACTGGTGTCAAGGAGTTACAGTCTACCATCGAGCAAAGCCACCATCAGTTCACGTTCTAGGTCCACTCCAAGCACCAAACAACGCGAGAGAAAGAACTCGATACAATCTAATAAGTCCGTATCATTCCTGGAATCGAGTAATGATGAATCATTGAAGGACGAGCCCAATTACACAGCGAAGAGTTTCACTAATGATCTAAAGAAGTTTCTTTTGAAACCTTCCCCGCCGAGACTCAGTCTTCGTGACAAATTCATGATCAGCTTCAAACAAGAGATAGAAGCGACTAGAAAGTCGCCGAAATTGAAGGCCATAAGGGGTCTGTGGAAGTCCTATTGAATTTTATTCTAGTGAATAATTTTATTTATTTGTAATATATTGAAATATTTAATTGAAATTTATTATCGGTGACATTTTTATTTAATCAATTAAGGTTGTTAATATAATTTACAATGAAGAGTCATGTCAGTGATTGAATTGAAACTTACTTAAATTGACAAAAGTTTAAAGTGTTAAGATTTTATTGAGATAATGTTTCACAGTGTTAAAAATGATGTGAATGTTGCAAGGAATCGTGGAATTTCCTGAACTTCTCAAACTAACAGGTAACTAGTAAATCTATTTGTAAAACTTTTATACACTTAATTATTATTATATGTTTTAGTTTTCACTCAATTAGGAAGCTTCTTTATTCAATTTGGCTATGCTTCAAGCCATGTGTGATGACATAATTGACATTCATTATGAAAGGATTAACATAAACCTAAGACTTAAACATTATTAAAATGTTATTGTAATCAAACAGTATGCTATGCAAACACTAGACTTTTGTGTAAATGCACATACAATTAGTTATTACCAATATTTTAAATATCAACATCTAAGAAATGCAACATTCTGAATAGTTTTTCAAGTCATTCTAATTTTATGATTCATCATTTCCTATATCAATTGCAGACGGCTTTATCTTGATTTCATTCATCATATTCATTACAGCCTATCAAACGCTGAATACATCCACTGCTGAACGTAGGTAATCTATAGATTTTCACATAAGGAGGACATTTGCCATTGTTGCCACGCTTGGCGGGCTAGCAACTGCAGCTTTTTATTTTGTAGTTCTTATAAGAAAGTAGCTGCTGCCCATCTTCTGGTTTATTTCCCTCTCTGTTCTCCATTTAATTACTTTCAAATCTCATTTGTTTATCATTTCTTGCAACATTCTTCGATGCTATTTAATGTTTTAAGTGTGCTACGACATGACTCTTGTTCTACGCTAACTCCTATTCCACTTGGTGCTTATTTTCATTGGATTGTAATCCATTTGTATGGGGAAATGCAATTCGTAAAACGGAGGTGTTCAGTATTGGTCTAAAATTTGTACTACCAAGGTTTAGGTGCTAATGACTTAAGCTGAAAACTTTTGATATACATCTATCTATGTCTTATTTATCTATATCACACATTATTTATTATTATATTTAAATTATAATACAGTTTTAAATTTGATTTAATGTATTGCAAGTTAAATAAGAAAACTTGGCCTGTATTATACAAACCTATTAATGATGATGAATCAATTATAAGCTTGCCGAGCATAACATTATGCATCAAACTGTATTTAAAACTTGCCAAGTTTAATCAAAGTGCATTTATATCATTTTTAACAATTGTAGAGCAATAGTATGTGATATGAAGCTAGTGTTGAGGTCCGAATTGTAATCATAAAAGAAAATCAAGAAAACATTTTGAATAATATACAATAATGACGTTTTTGTAATTGTGACAGTTGTTTGAATTCATTCCTAGTGTTTACGAATAACCTTTTTACCTTTTTAAGTAACAACTGATAGTTATTGATATATACTTAATAGTTGTTATAATTGAAGAATAATTTTTATGGCAATAATTTTTCTGAGGTCCTATTTTTAAAATGAATTAAAAGGACACTATTTAGTAAGTGATCCTTTTGTACAGTTATCAGTCATGCAATCAGCTGTACTTCAAATAATGATTTCTTTATATTTATGCGTATGCTACCCATTGAATAAAATTAATTTTATTAACGTAGGCCAGGTTAACTACGCCATCAGGCCGTCAAACATCTCAGTCCCTCTGTTACTATGAGTGCTGTAAAGCGCCTCAAACGTCTGAAGTTAAAATGTTAAAAATAAATGTGATAAAATCTGTAAAATTAGTTTTGTTCAATGTACTTCAAATGTTGTGACAAGACCTAACAAAGTGACATTTGTCATCTGTCACAATAATTTAAAAAATAATTATATTTAATAAAAGCTAATACTTTACATTATGAATTAAATTTAACATTGTAATTATAATTCCAATAATTCAAACTGGAATATAGAATCTTTTGTAATAGAAATAGGTCATAGTTTCCAATTGAGTGAGCCCACAAGCTCCTTGTTGGAAGTAGTGCTGTAGGGATCAATAGAGAACTTTTGTTGTGTTTATATATTTATATACAAATTGTGTATATTAACTATTGGTATATAGAATTTTATATAGTGACTTTACAATTGTATATTTAATATTAGCGCGTCGAGTGTAATCCATTCGTATTGTCATAAAAGATATCATATCACTTAGCAAAGTAGTCTTTCAATATGGAAACACATTTTTAGAAATTAGTTCTTCCAAAATTATACAACATATTTAATTATTTAATGCTGAAAGAGGTTACCCATTAACAAATAGCACTTGTGACGTGATAGAAGATAGAGAAATGTGGCATGCTTGGTTTTCATACAAATTGTGATTGTTTACATTAGGGGGCATCCACGAATTACGTGAGATGATTTTTTTGATTTTTCTACCCTTCCCCTCCCCAGGTGAAACGTCGTGAGATATGGCTAGACCTCCAAAATCTTATGGGAGGATTTTCAAAATTAGTATCTTTAGTGTATTTAACTTAATGCTTGAATGCATTTGATTTATTTAAAAAACACATAATTTGCTTAATAACAACATGTGGAGTTCGCATAACCGTGATGAATATAATTGTGTAGTATTTAGCTATATTTTACTTAATTTAATCCAATTATATCGAAATTATACATTTTTTCGTGGAAGAAAAAGTGATATTTACCAAGACTCTCCCTCTCCCCCACGTGAGATTGGGTGAGATTTGACTCGACCCCATTCCCCCCTAATCACCTCACGTAATTAATGGACGCCCCTTATCTATGTTTGATATATTACTTTGTTCCCCGTCCTAAGATTCGTCCCAATGGTTTCTTTGTATGTATATTTTTATCTTTACACTTAATACACCATACAAATTGATTTTATAATTTTTAAATTTATTATGTTGGTGGTTTTACCTACAAATATTTACACTTAATATAAGAATAAATCTAATCAATTCGACAAACTATGAGAATGGAATTTAATGACTAAGTTGAAAAATGTTCTCCAAAAAACAAAGATCCAAATATAAAGTTAAGCATTGAGTTGTGGTGCTGAAGGTCGCGGGTTCCAATCCCGCAAAGAGCAAGTATTTTGAATGGCTTAGAAATAATTGTTCTGGTTTCCGATATATCTTGTGATCGGCCTGGTATATAACCTGTCTTCACGATGCAAAAGAAAATTCTATTGTGAAGATAGCATTTCAAACAAACAAAGATTATGAACATTAACACATATTTACGTTTACCACTCCAAGTAAGCTTTTAATCCTTGTGTTAGGAGTGGTTCACAATAGTAGTTGAATGGCGGATTCGAATCCTCAACTTTCCAAGCATGTAATTCACATCCTTAGACTGTTTACTGTCTGATTTTTAATAGGAATCACAATATGATTTTGTACCTTTGATTTGTGAGACATCTTTTAATATGTTCTCTATGTTTTTTGGAGATGAGTTAGTTGTACTGTGTTGTGCAGAAATGGTTCAACCCGCAAAAAATGACGTTTATTTAGATTTGAGCGATAACTACAAATAATTTATAGAATATTGGATGTAGATTTTGAAATCAGTTTAAAATCTTTCATACTTGAAAATTTAAAAACCACTTTTTTATCATATTCTTGCATTGTCATCTGAATTTGAGCTATATTCAAAATTTAAAGTTTCTAGCTCATCGGGAAGTTAGTTTAAAATCAATTTAATTTAAACTCCATCCAGAATGACAAACAGACAGATAGACAAACAAGAAAGTGAATAAAAAAGAGAAAAGAAATAAAAAAACGTGGTAAAAAGAGCAAATAGAGTAAATGTGGCTCTACACTCTATTGTGGAAAGTCAGAATGTGTCAAAAAGGCACGTATAGCAATTCGCAATGTTGTATTAGTCCCTACTTTAACATATGGTAATGAAAGTTGCTTGTGGCGGAAGAAACACGAGAGTAGAATAAATGCAGTAGAAATACGGTTGCTAAGGAGTATGTTAGGGCTGAATATGTGACAGGGTGAGAAATTGTGTGATACGAGAAGAGTGTGGTTTGCAAGATGAGATGTTGTGACCAAGATTAAGAAAGGAATGCTTCGGTGGTTTGGTCATGTAGAAAGAATGAATGAGGAAATAGTGACAAAGCAAACTTATGTTGCAGAAGTGAAGGGAAGAGTCGGAAAGGGACGTTTTAGGCGAAAGTTTATCGACCAAATTGGCGAAATATTGAAAATGGGCCAAATTAGGAGTACCATTAACCAACAAGCATGTGTGCGTAGGTATATGGATGTGGAGGAGGCAATAGAGGTGTGTCAGGGTCATGCCAAATGGAAGTCTATAGGCTCAGTCTACCCCCCTGGGTGACAGGCGTGTGTGTTTATGGTATGTTAATGTTTAAAAAGATAATCTAGATCATTTATTTCACCAATTTGTGGGTTTGGTTTATTTATGCATAACATGGTTCAGTTATTGTGGTAAACGTTCTCAAAGTTTGTTACATGAATAACTTACAACCATCAGATTATGTATTTTTTATAAATACTGTCCCACAAGCATTATGTTTTATTGATAAAGAGATGCTATGGACCACTGCTATTTGTCCTATAATATACTAAATTAATTTGAAAACCATTTTTTCTGCTCAGTATATATATTCTAAAGTAATACAGTTTATTGGTGCTTTAAAAAAGTAACATAAAACTCCTCAATTCCTTAAATGTAAATAATGTAGTTTCCCTGGTAAGAGTATCACATGATTGTCATGTACTCTATGCACTAAAGTTAACTAAGGTAGCCTTTATTTCAAATATTTTGCACCTATATGATATATTATATAAAAATTAATATTTGATTGTTCGTATTTTATATGCTGCCATACCGTTCGTCAGATTACGATAAAACTTTGTCAACATATTGTTTGCACTTCCGCGAAGA